CCCCCCTCTCGCCTCCGCTCCCCACATATTACCTGTTGATCGGTACAATTGATACGACGGGGGCTTCTTCAACGTGCTGGACCGCCGAAAAGAGCTTCTATACTTATTTGTATCTCATAAGTGAGTCCAGTTCTGGCCCTCTCCACTGCAGTTATGCATCGGGATCTCTCGAGCTCCCCGAAGAGCGTAATGTTGCGTGACAGATAGGGAACCGGCACCGAATCGCCTGAATAGCCTGCGAGCAGGCTCACGCGTTGGAGCACAAGCGCGCGCGGCGTAGCCGCGAGTGCGAAATCGAGCGGCGAAGCCACAGACTCCTTCACGCCGGATTGCTTTGCTCTTCGCCGCTCGCGCGTGTGACTCAAAGGTGAGCCTGCTCGCAGGCTAGATCGCTAAAAAAAAAAAACTCTTGCTCTACGCTTCGTTCTTTAAAGTTCTTTAATTTTCCAGAATCCTGAACTTCACTCTTAATCCAGATCTAATATTTTCCTCCGGCTCATTTTTCGTACAAATGTTCAGTACATAAATGCAAATAAATTGTTTCTTTTGAAGTTGCGCGATGTATTCTGCACATGCGTGCAGCATCGCTTAGACCTGCATTCACCTTGCCGACGCTTTGTAACAGGTTGCTCGATCCGTGGAGAAGAAAGTCTCTAACATGGCGCCCAAATACGTGCTAATTTACTTCGACGTCCGAGGCAGAGCAGAAGCAACGCGACTTTTGTTCAAAGTGGCTGGTGTAGAGTTTGAAGATCGGCGTATGACATTCGAGGAATGGGGTAAACAGAAAGAGCAGTGGAAAAGTGGTGAGTCTTAGTGTGACTGGTTTGCTACGACGCCCTGCAAAAGTCAAGCGTCGCGTTTTCCGTAGTTTAAACTAAAAGCGCAGCTTAATTCAGGTTTTTAAACGTCTCCTTGTGCCTTAAAAACTTGCTGCCGTCACTGGAATATCAGACGTTTTCTTCTTTATTTCAAACATTTAACGTGGCCGCATAGCATATTCTAATTTTCCAGTGTCGCAACCAGCGCGACACGACATTCTGAACGTTCTTTTTTCAATTTGTCGTTCGATGTTACTTTTGGCTTACATTGCCCAGGGTCAGCAACATAACATAACGGAAGAAAACAGCCCTTCAAGTAAGCGCTTACGTTAAAATAAAAAAATAGATAACAAATAATTAAATTTGTTTTGCTGAGTCATTCGGTCTGCTGTCAAAAACAACAGACGGTCGAAGCTTTGTGTTTATTCAAGAAGCGTTAAATTAAAGGCCGGAGAAAGATGGAATTAGGGGAAGGGGATTGTGGGTTTTGCAATTCCCGCATGACATTCTTTGTGTTCAGTGGTATTAAATGAAACAATGAAAGAGACTGCATGACTTTTTTTTTAAAAAAGCTCCGTGACTGATAACTGAAACCATTCATGAAACATACAAAAGTTTAATTATTGCACAACTTTCAATCTGATCATCTCATTACATTGCTTCAACTGTCATCTATGGTGAAATGAATTGACTACTCCCGAAAGGTTTACAATTTAATATAATTGTCTACAAAAATCTACATGATTTCAGTCAATTTAGCCGCCTCGCTAAGCCTTAAAATGACCTCGCCTTGGACGCGTTTGAGCCGCATGATTCTATTACTCTGTAGGGACGGGATTGATGGGCAGTTCTTTGTACGACTTCTTGTCGATGCAATCGCACATGCATTTGTACGCACCACGCATGCAAAAGCCATACGTGCTACCCTTAACTTTCAGACAAAGATAGAAAAGCCAGTTGCATTTACGGCAGCAGTCAAAGACTTGTTTGCAGACGTATTTCTTCCGGCTTTTTCCTCCTTGCGGTAACAGGATGGCTGCTGCATCTCGGCACAGTACTGGGAAGTTCTCGTAGCTGAGGTACTTGTGCTCGTCCTGTTCGGAACAAAAATGATATCAACATCAAGTTTGGTGGCTGATTTTTGTGCTTGAGTCCATTCTTCGAGGATTTTATTTTAAATACCAAGATAACTTTCCATCGGGGGGCGGGGGGGGG